CCAGGTCTTTTTATTCTATCCATCACTGCCTTCAATAAGATGCGGGATTTATTGTAGTAGTCTGAGGGGCGGTCGCTGGCGAGCGGGCGACGAGGGGGTGAAGGGAGAGGGGGGTGGGGGCTTATCCTCCCGCGCACCGACCCGTCTGCATCCCGGTGGTCCGAGGGGAGGGAGGGGGAGGGGCTGCCGTCGCCGAGGTCCGTGGAGACCCGGGGGAGCAGAGGGATCAAGGGGGTGGGGGTGGGGGGATGTGATCCTGGATCCAGGTCCAGGAACAGCCTCTGGCGGCAGTAAGGCGCACGACGCGGGCCTCGGCGTGGACCCTGGTGGTATAATCCGCTGCCGCCGCCGAGGGTGAGGGTGGGGGGGGGGGAGGAAAAGGGTTGTCCGTGGTCCGGGCCGCGCGAACAAAGCTGAGGAACGAATTCTGCCGCCCCAAAGTGTTCGACCAAGCAGAACCGATTGCCAACCCCCACCTTTTCATGGAATGCTGCCACCGAGGTCCAAGATGTGATCTGCGCCGGCAAAGCAGGATGGAGGCGACGGGGTGTGGGGTTGGCGAAAGTGAAACGGGGCCGTTCTCCTACTCACTTTGCGCCCCGTTCGGTGTTGTATAGAGGGACTCTCGGTGTGTCGTTTCCTACCAGCTGCTGCTGCAGCAGCTGCTGCGACGAGTACCGAAATTTCTTTCTTGGAATGCGTCGACGGGGAGTCATTGGGGCTGTAATGGCGGCGGGAGACTCCTGGGGGCGTGGCGGGGCAAGGCGGGGCGGGGCGCTGCTCGCGACAAACTTTGTCGCTCCTGCACGCGAGCAGCAGCCGCAACAGCAGCAGCAGCAGCAGGATCATCCCCGGCGGCGGTGGGCCGGCGCCCTGGAGTGGGGGTACCAGCACCAGCGCGCCGCTGCTCTCCTCTCCGCTTGGCTAGCGGCCGCTAGGCGGTGCAGCCCGGCAGGTAGGCAACATCCGCACACGGCTGCGTCGCAGCGGCCGGACTGCCTACCCGTCAGGCGCCAACAGCCTGCGCCCACGGCTATGGCCTGGTCGGGCCCGCGGGGGGACCTCCTAGCTCAACCTATCCGGGTACCCTCTGCCCCGGAGGCC